CTTCTGCCTGCTGGAGAGCGGGCGGCTTTCGCTAGAGAATTCGGGGGAGTTCTGCGGTGGAGGGGGTGAGGGGACGCAGAGACGATGGTGGTGCCATCACCGCGTCCCACACACAGCACATGAACCCACCCCCACATGCACCGCACACACCGCAGGCTCGGGGGGCATGGCGCAGGGACAGCCGGGAGGGAGGAAGGAGGGCGGAGTGAGGAGGGAGGTGGAAGTGCCTTTCGGGGGAGGGACGGGGACGCAGAGAGAGGGAGAGACAGAGAGAGAGAGAGAGATGAGAGAAACACATCGATGGGTTTCCTCCTGCTCGAGCCCCGACCAGGGCCTGGGCCAGGAAAGAGCCTGCAACCAAGGTATGTGTCCCTGACCAGGATCGAACCCTTTGGTCCTCAGGCCCCGTTTTCATACTGAGGCCATGCTACGTTACAGAAATAAATGAGGCATTTAGGATGCAAGTCTGGGGCAGGCCTAGTGTTTAGCCAGATTGGCGGGCAGGCACCCTAGAGTTGTGCTCAGGTCAGGTTTGGAATTTGGATTCCCCGTGCTCGATACCTGTGGCCTGTAGCGGAGGCCAAAGGCCAGCGTCCTAGTGATTTGACCCCAGCTATGAACAGATGGAGGGACCGGGGGAGGTAGGGATGTCTCCACTACCTCCCGAGGTCTGGAGGACCCTTCCTGGAAGGGTCCGGAAAAGGCAATTTCTGACGCGGCCACATTTTACGGACAGAGACGCGGGTGGGCGAGCAGCCACGTGGGACTGGCACGGGGGCAGGGCGGGACTCACCACTAATGCTGCCACCAGGAAAGGCTACCAAGCTGAAGAGATGAGGTCCTGATGGGTTCTGGGCCACGAGGAAGGAGAGGCGGGCACCCTGAGCCGTGGAGGAATGGCCAAATGGGGTGCTCATGCCACCCGGGTTCGGCACCAAATGTTAGCTTAGGTGGCTCAGGAGGCGGCGTAGAAAAATCAAGAGAGCCGAGTCAATCAGAAAAGAAAGGAAAGGAAAGGTTTTATTCTGCGTCCCCGGGAAA